AAGGCGAGAGTCCCATTTTGAAAACGACCGGCATCCATTCTCGCAGTTGTTGGAGTTGTTCAGGACGAGCGACCGCGACACTAACTCGAGAGCCGAATTTTGGAAGCCACTGGTCCTCCCTCTCTGTGCGCGGCGCCAGGGCGAGAGCCGCATGTGGGAAAAGGCCGTCTTTCCATCCTGGTATCTGGTGGATCTTTGCTTTAGGACAGCTCGACACAAGGAGAGCCGAAACTCCCGGCCCGGCGTGCGGACGCGTCCGGTGGTACGAAAGCGGCGGGGGGCACAGGTTTGCAGGAATTTGGCATCGCTCGGACGTGTGCATTTTTCCTTCGGCGAGGACCATCGAAGAGCATCCTTGATCATTTGGCGAAAAAACCACGCACGAAACCGGAAAAAAACACAGGGAATGGACGTCCGAGCGATGGCCAGGGAAGAGGGATGGAGGACGGCACACACACACACACACACACACACACATGGCACGGCAGCCGACGACGCGGCACACACGAGCAGGGCGGAGGAGCGAAGGGAAGGGAGTGGCAGGAGAAGCAGCAGGAGCAGCAGGAGCAGCAGGAGCAGAGGCAGGGTGGCGGAGAAGCCCCCGGGCCCACACGAGCGACTCAAATACAGAGGGTCGTCTGCGCCAACATTGGCGCGTAAGCTGCCCGCGTAAGCTCGCGCCCAAGCGCCCTCGTCTCCAATGTTGCGCGCCGCGCCGGCGGCCCGCGTAAGCCGCCGCGGAAGGTCGCTGCGTCATCTCGCGCAAGATCCGTTTTTGATCGTCGCTCACTTGGGTCTGCGCACCCGCAGCCCCCAAAGCCCCGCAGGCTGCCCAGCTGCAGGCGCAGCCCCAGCAGGTCCAGCAGGTGGTCCTCACGCAGGCGCCCCGCGGCCCGCCGCCGCCGCCGGGCACCGCGCGCCGCGGCGCTCGCGGGCGCTGCTGGCCCGCGCTGCGACGACGAGGAGGAGGATAAGAATAAGGAGGAGGAGGAGGAGGAGGAAATGGAAATGGAGGCGAAGGAGGAGGGAGAGGAGGGAGAGGAGTAGGAGGAGGAGGAGGAGGAGGAGGAGGAGGAGGAGGAGGAGGAGAGGAGGAGTTGGAGGAGGAGAAGGAGAAGGAGGAGGAGAGAGGAGAGAGAGGAGAGGAGGGGGAGGAGGGGGGCGGAAGGAGGACAGCGGGGGGGAGGGAGGAGGAGCAGCAGCAGCAGCAACAGGACGGGGGCGAAGAGAACGACGACGAGGAGGAGAACGAGGAGAGAAGGATGGTAAGGACGAGGAGCATGAGGAGGAGGAGGAGGCGAAGGAAAAAAAGGGAGAGGAGGACAGGGGAGGTTGGACTGGAGGAGGATGAAGACGAGGAGGAGGGAGGCGCCGAAGTAATCAGTGAATTGTACCTGATAGTATGATTGCCTCGAGTCGATGTGACAGCCCGATGTTGAACACGTTGCGCTGCAGTGCCTTAAGTGACGTTTAGCATCGGTCTGCCGTTCGTGGACTTTGGGCATCCACGGGATGAAGGGGAACCGTTTGCCCCGTCTCCCTACCTCTGCAGATGTGTTTCCTCAACTTCCTATTCCTCATCATACTATTATTCTGCCCCGTGCTTCCTCCGCTTACTATTGAAGTACTTCGATTGTCCGTTCGTTCGACAACGTGCTCACAGATGTCGCAGCCACCTACGATTGATATATACATGCGTGCGAATATACATGTAACGGGGGGTCGGGTCCCAGGGCCCTCGAGCCAGAACCTCGACCACAAATGGGTGGACCAGGTTGCCTGGAGCCATGCTGGCGCGCCAGAGGCCTTCCAAGATCGCCCGAAGGCCCCAGATCGCCTGAAACGCATGTCGAGACCGCCAAAAGGCCTATGACGGCCCCAGATTGCCCAGAATTGGCGGGTTTGGGGGCGTCTTGGGGGCATCTGTGGCCGCTTGGAGGCCGTCCTGGACGTCTTGGAACGATCTTGCAGCGACTCGGGGCCTTCTTGGACCGTCTTGGGACCATCTTGGGTCGTCGGGGAGCCCTCTACCCGCCCATGGGGGGGGTCAATGGGGGGATCATGGGGGGAAGCAGTCTCACACACCTGGAGACCCACAGGGGGTCGGCGGATCTATCCTCACCCGATTTCATCCTCGTCCGCATGCATGTGCAGTCAAAGCGCTGAAACGATCACAGGGACACTGTTTCTTGGGGGCTCTCTGCTTATGCGGGCCACTCCTCGGACCTCCAGCTTGGGAAGCCTTCTCGTGGCCGCGGCTCGCCGTGGCCAGGCAGGTCCTGCCGTTCTTCACTCCCAGACATCCGATGCCCTGATGATTGTCAATCCTCCTCCTCCTCCTCCTCCTCCTCCTCCTCCTCCTCCTCCTCCTCCTCCTCCCCCGGAAGTCCCAAACCTGTCTCCAGCGCAAGCTATTCATCCCGAGCCGTTGTTCGACGGTCCCGGGGCCTGGCGAGGGCCCCTGAAGCAAAGCATCCGGCTTGTTTTTCGCGAAAACGTCGGAGGGCTGTCGTTGCGTGATACCCGATCCCAAGCCAAGCCGCCGGGTCGGTTTTGGAGGTCGCCGCGGCGATCGCGGCGGCCGCAAATCGGGGCAAGCTGTTGTCAAGGAGTGGCACGCTCCTTCACAACCCCCCTCTCTGCGATGCAGACGTGGCTCGTGTGCAATAGTATGGCAACAAAGAGTTGGGCAGTCCTGTCTTTGGGGGTGGGTGCCGACTATCACGTAGCCAGTCTGGGCCTGGCATCCCTCGTGGCGTCGTGCCCATTTCTTCCGTGCGGCAGGTTCGTGTCGTCTCGACGCGGCCGCGACCCCAGCGCGGGTGTTCCAGGTCACGCGCCGCCGGCAGCCAAAAGTCGGCATGCATGGGATGACCTGGCGATCGAAAGCCCGCCGATCGCGCGAGGTTCCCAGACCCCCGACGTAATGATTTTTTCATTACGTCGACCCCCAGAGGTCCCGACCCTTTCCCCGGGACCAGTTTTTCGTCCTGAGTCGTTTTTTGACGTTCCCGAGGCCCAGTGAGGGCCCCCGGAGGCCGAAAATGAAGGAAAACCTCCCGTCATGATTTTTTCATTACTCGAGGGGGTCTGGGTTGAACGATCCACGCGGTGTCAGAAGCCAACGTCGGGGCGTCACGACACAAACATGCCATCGCCGTACCCACTTCTCGCGTGCCAACTGGTCGGGCGCACGTTGCCCTCCCGGGGACGTTGTCGAGTGCAGCACTGGTCTCTGCACACAGGTTTGTGCCGCCTCGACGCGGCAAGGACGCCGGCGCGGGGGTTCAAAATGGGACTCCAAGAGGTATTCTGAAAAGGCCCGTTTCGGATTCCATGACCGGCACAAACAAACCACGGCACGAACCCCATGCGACAGACCGGGTCGAGAGCGTTTCCTCTCAGAGCTCCCGGCAGCGGACGGCGCTCGAGGCCGAACGGCCCGCGCGGTGGGCGAACACGCGGCCCACGTCGTCCTGGCAGGAGCTTCCTGCACGGCCGTCTCTGCGATCCGATCGCCAAGCCGCGCCGGAGGGCGCAGGGCTGGGGCGCAGGGCAGACCGGTCGCATGGACCTGGCAGGGCTGGCGCAGCCGGCACGGCCGCCGGGCGGAGGGCCGTCGCGGGCGCCGCCAGAGCGGCTCGGGCAGCTGCGCGCGCTGGAGGCGCGGCGGCGCGGCTGGGCCGCGCGCGCGCGGAGGGTGCACGCGGAGATCCAGGGCGCCTTGGAGGACCCGAGGTCGCTCGGGCGGGGAAACTCAGACCCCCGACGTAATGATTTGTTCATTACGTCGACCCCCAGAGATTAGACATCTCCCGTCATGATTTTTTCATTACTCGAGGGGGTCTGGGAAGGGGGCCAGAGAGGCCCAGGCCCCCTCGCGTCGTGGAGGCGTCACGACGGAGGGTGTCGGGCCACTGTCGGTTTCCAGGGGCCCTCGCCGGGTTCTGGGGCCGCCAGGAAGCAGCTCGGGAGGAAGGGCGGGTCGCGTGGAGTGGGTCGAGACCTCTGGGCGTCCAGGTTGCGAGAAAAACCACGACGTCGGGGGTCCGGGGGTGTCATCGGCCCGGGGCGTCCCCATGGTTTCCCCAGGGCGTACCCCAGGGCGGCCTCCAGAGCACCCCCTCACGAAGCCCACGGGCGCGCAGGAGCACCAGGGTGGCGCGAAAAGCCGGGGGCAGTACCACTTGTGGCAGCCCCCGTCCAGGCTGGACGCGGCGGCCCGGGCGATCCTCGAGAGGGCGCGGGCGCGGCCAGGCAGCCCGGCCCCGCCAGGGTCGCGGCCAGGCAGCCCAGCCCCGCCGCGCGGCGCGGCGCCGCATGCGTCCGCCGCCGCTGCCGGCCAGCCCGCCGAGCCACCGGAGGTGGCGGCGGGCCACCTCGCGGACGCCATCCCAGAGATCCGGCGCGTGGCCCTCGGCCTCGACGACTGGTTCCACGCGTGGGGCCGGGACGGCCGCCGCGAAGAAGGGCGGCGCCCGCCGCATCAGGGCGCGCAGGAGGCGCCCGAGGTTTTCAGCAGGCGGTCGCTGCAGGACGAGGATCGGAGGGCGTCAACTGCCATGCACCTGCGCCGATCCTGGGCCCAGGCCCACCCCTGGGCCCAGGATCAGTGCAGGCGCGCCCCCTCGGCTCGGCCAGGAGGGCAGGAGTCAAGCCCCGAGCCTGGGCCCAGAAGTGGGCATGGGTCGGTGCGCAGGAGGCGCAGCTGGCGCCCTCCGAGCGAGGAGAAGCTGTGCTGCGCCCGCCTCTCGGGCCTCATCGCGCGGGAGCGGCACCGGCAGGAGCAGCAAGCCCGGCAGCAGGCCCAGCGCCTCGAGGAGCGGGAGCGGCTGGCGGGCGAGCTCGCCGCGCCCGCCCCCGCGCCGGGGCCCTGCCGGCGGTGCGAGGCGCGGCTGCGGGAGGTCGCGGAGCTCCTGGGCGCTCTCGCCGCGGTGTGCTCTGCGGTGCACGCTGCCGTGCGGCGGGGCGGCCCCGAGGGCGGGGTCGGCGAGCGGCCCGGCGGCAGCGGGGGCGAGCTGGGAGGCCGGGGCCACGAGCTGGAGGCGCTGGCGCGCGCCCTAGGCCGCGTGGCCGGCCTGGACCCGCGGCTGCAGAGGCTGGTCGACAGCCTGGCCGAGAGGAGGGCCTCGGCTCCGAGAGGCGCTTCTTCGCCCTCCCCTTCCTCCTCGCCCATCCTGCGGGTGCTGCCCTCGGCCAGAGAGGGTCGAGGGTCAAGTCGGGCTTGGAATGGGGATGAGTCGGGGATGGATCCAGGACGCAGGCGCGTCTGGAATGGATATGGAATGCGGGCGGGTCTGGATTCTTGCCTCGCGGGCCCACAATGACGCAGCGGAGATCGGAGTCATACAAGTGGGTCTGGACAGTCTGGAGTATTGATGGGTCTGCACAGGGTGTTTGGAATAGTTCTGTGATGGGTGGGTCGGGAATGCGAGTAGATTTTAACATTGGATAGGTTGGTCTAGAATGCTGAATTTAGGGTGGGGGCCTGCGCGGAGAAGAAGGACGAGGAGAAGAAGGGGGTGGGAGAGGAGGAGGGAGTGGTGGAGAGGAGGAGAAGGAGAAGGAGAAGGAGAAGGAGGAGGAGGAGGAGGAGGAGGAGGAGGAGGGCTTCTGCCCTTGACAATAGCATTCGCAGTGCTGAGAGTTGAGCAAGAATCACGTGCAAATGCGACCAGCGCGGCCGCATCCGCTGTGCGTGCAGGCCTTGTCCCGAAATCTCCCCCCCCTCCGACAGGCGTCGCCTCGAGAGCCTTTTTCGAAGGCACCCCCGGATTCCCAGAAGGACGTCCCCCTCGCCCTGCCCTCTTCTGGGCGCCTCGAACTACTCCCCCTGCCCCCCCCCGCCCTCCCCACATCTGACGATGTGATGTTGCCAATCCGCTGCGCCAGAGGTCGGGATCCCTTCCCTGGGAGCGGTTCTTTGCCCCAGATCCATGTCTGATAGCATCCAGGGCCCACCGAGGCCGAAATGAAAGATTACATTGGCATATATATATATATATATATATATATATACAGAGGGAGAGAGCGAGAGAGAGAGAGAGAGAGAGGCGCTCAATTTCAACAGGGCATGATAAAACACGGTCGGCACAGCACGGCAATTCCGTTGTCGCATTCTGAAACACCGAATGGCACGGCAATTCACCGTATCTTCCGTATTCTGGCAGCCAGGCACAGCACGGCACGGCAATCGTTTCGCATTCGAGAATCCAAGCGCGGCCCACTATTGCACGGCAATTTGTCAATTTTTTATATAAAAGCAACAACAACAACAAAAACAACAATTACTAGCACGTGGGGACACACCGTTCTCACCAGTGCCAGGGTTTTCATAGGAGGCGGGCAATACCCCCACTTTGTGGGGGGGCCGGTTCAAGCTCTACCAAATTTCCAAACGACTCTTCGCCACCACCCACACCCAGCTTCCCGCCCTATGACGTTCGGACACTTCACTTCGTGGCATGCGGACGACCGTGGCTACTATTCAGGCCCCGCGGCCGACGACGACGGCGTGCGCGCGCGAAGAAAAAACGAATGTGTCCCGCATGGTATTATTTGACAGGGATGATGGCCCTGGCAGGTGCGCAACCGTTGTTGCAGAAGTTCGAAAAAGTTGCTCGCAAAAGCCCGTTTGACAGAAATGTTTAAAAAATGTTGGGTTTCCTACGAATCCGCAAGAGCGCGCGGGATGAAATTTTGACATTTTTTTTTGAAAAACCATTGGTTTTTTATGTTTTTATGTTAAAATCGCTACGAAAACTAAGGTTTTGGAAGGATTTCGTCTTGCGCGCGCGAATGTCCACTTTACCTTATTTTTTGCAAGGGATTCTTGAAGTTTGGTTATGTTAGAACAAGAAATGTCCACTTTAGCTTATTTTTTGCAAGGGAAAACCGGGGGACGTAACAAACAACCGGATCCGGACTCCCCCGTTTTGCTTGAGACTTCCTCACGAAAATGATGAAAATGTGGCTGCGGCCTAGGCGCGGCGGGGGGGTCGTGCACCAGGGGCCCAACAATAATTATTCTTTAGAAGTAATAATGTTCAACAACAACAACAACAACAACAACAATCATTTTACCCGAACGCGTGGTGTTCTCCCCAGTGCCAGGGTTTTCATGCGACGCGAGACAATACCCCCACTTCGTGGGGGGGCAGTTCAAGCTCTACCAAATATCCAAACGACTCTTCGCGACCACCCAAACCCAGCTTCCCGCCCTATGACGTTGGGACACTTCACTTCGTGGCGTGCGGACGACCGTGGCTACTACACTGGCGTGGGGTACACACCCACAGAACTTGGTCACTTATTCGGGGCGCGCGTGTGCCCAGCATCCTGCAATTGTGACATACAATACATGACACAGACAGACAGAGAGAGAGACAGAGAGCAGACAGAGAGAGAGACAGAGAGAGCGGAGTTGGTCACATTTTTGGGGCAAGTTCCTGAGATCGTCGTGTTTTTTGTTGGTCTTGCGCGCGCGAATGTCCACTTTACTTTTTTTTGCAAGGGAATATTGATTATGTTAGAACAAGAAAAAGTAGCTCGCGCGAGCTCATGTAACATAAATGTTGAAAAACCATTGGTTTTGTGGGAGTCGGACAGCGCGCGCGGGATGAAATTTGGACATTTTTTTTTGAAAAACCATTGGGTTTTTGATGTTTTTATGTTGAAATCGTTACGAAACCTAAGGTTCTGAAGGATTTCGTCTTGCGCGCGCGAATGTCCACTTTACCTTATTTTTTGCAAGGGATTATTGAAATTTGATTATGTTAGAACAAGAAAAAGTAGCTCGCGCGAGCTCATGTAACATAAATGTTGAAAAACCATTGGTTTTGTGGGATTCGGACAGCGCGCGCGGAAGGACATTTTGACAATTTTTTCTTAAAAAACCATTGGGTTTTTGATGTTTTTATGTTAAAATCGCTACGAAACCTAAGGTTTTGGAAGGATTTCGTCTTGCGAGCGCGAATGTCCACTTTACCTTATTTTTTGCAAGGGATTCTTGAAATTTGATCAACTAAGAACAAGAATTTTCATTTTATAGTGTTTTTTGCAAGGGAAAACGAGCGTCAACAAAACAACCGGATCCGGTAACAATCCACTTTTCTGAAGCTTTCGCTAGAAAATGAAAGAAATGAGGCTGCGGCCTAGGTTTTGGAGGGGGGTCGTGCACCAGGGGTCCCAACAATAATTATTCTTTAGAAGTAATAATGTTCAACAATCACTTTACCCGAACGCTCAGTGTTCTCACCAGTGCCAGGGTTTTCATGCGACGCCAGCCAATACCCCCACTTTGTGGGGGGGCAGTGCAAGCTCTACCAAATATCCACACGACTCTTCGCCACCACCCACACCCAGCTTCCCGCCCTATGACGTTCGGACACTTCACTTCGTGGCCTGCGGACGACCGTGGCTACTACACTGGCGTGGAGTACACACCCACAGAAGTTGTTAAGCCTACGTTCGTACACCCACAGAAGTTGTTAAGCCTTGTTAACCCACAGAAGTTGTTAAGCCTTCCACAGAACATCTGTTGCATATGATGCATATGGTTTTTGGAGATTTCGGCGTGCGCGCGCGAAGAAAAAACGAATGTGTCCCGCATGGTATTATTTGACAGGGATGATGGCCCTGGCAGGTGCGCAACCGTTGTCGCAGAAGTTCGAAAAAGTTGCTCGCAAAAGCCCGTTTGACAGAAATGTTTAAAAAGTGTTGGGTTTCCTACGAATCCGCAAGAGCGCGCGGGATGAGATTTTGACATTTTTTTGTTGAAAAACCATTGGTTTTTTGATGTTTTTATGTTAAAATCGTTCCGAACACTAAGCTTTTGGAAGGATTTCGTCTTGCGCGCGCGAATGTCCACTTTACCTTATTTTTTGCAAGGGATTCTTGAAATTTGATTATATTAGAACAAGAAATGTCATTTTATAGTGTTTTTTGCAAGGGAAAACGGATTACAACAAAACAACCGGATCTTGGACATCGTCTTACCTGAGGCTTCCTCACGAAAATGATGAAAATGTAGCTGCGGCCTAGGCGGCGCAGGGGGGCCGTGCACCAGGGGCCCCAACAATAATTATTCTTTAGAATTAATAATGTTCAACAACAACAATTACTAGCACGTGGGGACACTCCGTTCTCACCAGTGCCAGGGTTTTCATAGGAGGCGGGCAATACCCCCACTTTGTGGGGGGGCCGGTTCAAGCTCTACCAAATTTTCCAAACGACTCTTCGCCACCACCCACACCCAGCTTCCCGCCCTATGACGTTCGGACACTTCACTTCGTGGCATGCGGACGACCGTGGCTACTATTCAGGGCCCCGCGGCCGACGACGACGGCGTGCGCGCGCGAAGAAAAAACGAATGTGTCCCGCATGGTATTATTTGACAGGGATGATGGCCCTGGCAGGTGCGCAACCGTTGTTGCAGAAGTTCGAAAAAGTTGCTCGCAAAAGCCCGTTTGACAGAAATGTTTAAAAAGTGTTGGGTTTCCTACGAATCCGCAAGAGCGCGCGGGATGAAATTTTGACATTTTTTTGAAAAACCATTGGTTTTTTGATGTTTTTATGTTAAAATCGCTACGAAAACTAAGCTTTTGGAAGGATTTCGTCTTGCGCGCGCGAATGTCCACTTTACCTTATCTGTTGCAAGGGATTCTTGAAGTTTGATTATGTTAGAACAAGAAATGTCCATTTTTAGTGTTTTTTGCAAGGGAAAGCGGATTACAACAAAACAACCGGATCTGGATGACATCGTTTTACCTGAGGCTTCCTCACGAAAATGATGAAAACGCGGCTGCGGCCTAGGCGCGGCGGGGGGGGCGTGCACCAGGGGGCCCAACAATAATTATTCTTTAGAAGTAATAATATTCAACAACAACAGCAGCAGCAGCAGCAGCAGCAACAATAACAACAACAATAACAACAAAAAGCCAGGTACGGCACTGCACATTGCTCGCATTCCAGGCACCGCGCACGTCACAGCACGGCAAGGCACGCGGGCACGGCACGGTTTTTTCTGCGTCCCAGAAGCCAAGCGCGGCACCAGCACGGCACCGCACGGCACGCGGGCACAGTGCCCGGCACGGCTCGTGGGCACGGCACGGCGCGCGGGCGGCATTTGTCGCACCTTCTGGAGAGAGGGAGCGGCACGGCGCGAGGAGAGCGGCACGGCGAGCGGCCACGGCATGGCCAGCTGATCTCCTGCCTCTTGAGCACGAGAACCACCCTCACCCTCTTGAAGCAATTCGGACCCCTCACAGCACTCGCCGTTGAGGGCAGCATGCGGTGGGACCCTCAGGCGTCCCGAAGCGCTCCCAGG